AACATTTAAGGCCAGGCATGGTGGTGCCCATCTTTAATTCCAGTACTTGGGGGGCAGAAGCAAGTGGATCTCTGTGATTTCAAGGCCACCCTCGTCTATGTAGTAAGTTCTGGGACAACCAGGGCTACACAGTGAGATCCTGACTCAAAAACAAACAGACAAACAAACAAAAACAAACAAAGAAAGAAAGTAGAAAATTTATCCCTAAATTTTGGCTGAATTATTTAAGTAATGAATCTAACAAAGCATCATCCGTTTAATTCCCATATCCAATCTGATTGTTCTGACATGGAAAAAGAAATTATCCAAATGCGGAAATCACCCTGTTGAAATAAATTGAATGACTGGTCTGCTTTGATCTTTACGTTCCCCTACTTTGTAATTTAAATGAGTAATAATTTAAATATTTTAAATTTGAAATTCTTGCAATCAAAAGGGAAAATACTGAAGTTCTTTTTTAATCCTACAATGTTTCAAAGCAGCACAAATTATGGAAATATTAAGTAACTGCAAGCGGCGTGTAGGTTAATTGTACTTGTGCGACTGTCAGCAATATTCAGTTTCTCTCGGAAGAATAAAGCCTGTCATCCCATCAGCGTTTGAATCTGCTGCTTTCTAAAGAACATCTGGATTCCCTGAAGCGGGTCCATCCTGACTAAGTGCCTCCCACATACAGAGATACAAGGGCCAAGTGAATGGATTTCTCTTGGGGTTCTGTTATATTGCACAGCTTGGGGTTCTGTTATAACGCACAGCTGGCTTCAACTGTGGCACACCCATTTGTGGGTAGACCCCTTAGTGTCTACAATATAAAGGTATCCTAAGTGGTATGGGGTTTGAACTATGACATGAGTCATTTTGCAAACCAGCTTTTTTTTTTTCCCAAATAGCCTCTAGGTTTTCCCCTAAAATTGTCTGTGTCTTACCAAATCTGTGGCTGTGCCTATCTATCTTGGCACAGATTATACAGGCTCTCCCCTTTGACACCTTTGATTTTGCATAATCAGGAAGTTTTCCCATTCTGTGTGGTGTACTGATGTGTTTGCCATAGCTGGCAAACAGTTCATTGGAAGCAGGGATTCCTTTTGGGGTGTTTTTGTTTTTTTGTTTCTGAGGTGCTGAGTCAGAACCCCAGGGGAACTTCAAGCATAACAGGCAACTCCTAAGCCAGTTGCATTACATCCAAGCCTTGGGGACTTAGTTTTGATAACTGAGAATTTTCCATGTCCAATGAAGTAATTCAGGATTTAATACCATTGTAGAAACTCAGCGAGGCTTATTCCCCAGGCGTGATCCCTCAGCCGGTCTCCAATCCCCAAGATGGTCACATCTCAGGCACATCTGATAATAAGAATTTCCTCGAACTTTTTTTTTTAAAGATTTATTTTGTATTTGTATGTATGAGTATTTGTGAGAGACAGTGTATGCCCATGTACCCACAGAATTCAGAAGAAGCCACCAGCCTCCAAGGTCACCAGCCTACAAGGAGACTTTGGGAGTCTAGAAATCAGTAGCCAGTGGATGAAATCTGTCTCATTGGATCTCACCCACTAACCTTATAATATTTCCCTAGTTTTGAAATGCACATTTAAAATGTGTGAACTCAGCATTGGCAGAGTCCCTATCCTGGGCCTTTGGTCTGTGGGGTAAGAACAGTTATCACTAGAAATTCCAAAATGTTAGACCAAAGCACTGCCACATTCCTGCAGAGACCGCAGACATTAATGTAGCACAAATCCTAGTTGGTCTTAATAATAAAAACCCAGAGTCAGATGTAGGGATTATTGTTGAAGATCTGAGAAGCAGAGGGGCCAGCTGTTAGAGTTCTTTTACCTCTACCAAAGCTCAGACCGAAGGGGCAATCTTGTCCTCAGACTGCGTCTCCAGACTCTGTCTGTCTCCACCAAACCTCAGACTGCACCGAGCTCCTGTCTCCTCCTGCCTTATATTCCTCTCTCTGCCCAGCCATATCACTCCTGTCTTCACCTCCCTAGTGCTGGGATTAAAGGCATAGGATCCCAAGTGCTGGGCTCACCTTTGTGTGAGCTCTCTTTCTCTTTTGGACAGATTCAATCTTGTGTAGTCCAGGGTGGCCTTGAACTAACAGAGACCTTCTGCCTCTGTCTCCTGAGTCCTGGTACTATAGGTGTGTGTCTCCACTCTCTGGCCTCTAGTGGCTTAGCTCTGCACTCTGATCTTCAAGCAAGCTGTATTTTTCAGAAGCATAAACAAAATATCACTACAGATTAATTCCATGATCAAGGACATTATTATTTCTTTATTTGTTTATTCATTTATTGTTGAGACAAAGTTTCTCTGTGTAACTCTGGCTGTCCTGGAACTCACTCTGTAGACCCACATCAAGAACTTAAAAGATGCAGGGGTAACCAGGTATGATGGTGCACACCTTCAATCCAAGCATTCTAGAGGCAGAGGCAGGTGGATCTCTGCTGAGGCCAGCCTGGTCTACAGAGCGAGTTCCAGGACATCTCTGGCTACATAGTAGGACCCTGTTTCGAAACAAAAAGCAAGCAAACAACAAAATACCAAAGATACAGGGATAATGGCTCCTGCCATGTCCCCATTCAGCTGCCCTGTGTGACCTGTGGGTTCTAGTAAAGTTAATAAGGTGGCTTATTCTTTGGGTCCTGGTTTGCAGATATTGAGGTGGTGGATGTTTCTTCCCTTCTTCCTATGAGTAAAGACATTTAGAAACACCGTACTTTTACCTAGTGGAGCTTGCCATGTTTTATCACCGTCTCTCCCCAGAGCTAATTAACTCTCCAGTTCCACGTCACAGTCCTCAGCGACCTTGATTATCTCACTGTGATGTGATGTGTGTGCGCGCGGAGAGGTCACAGGACAACTTTTGGAGAGCTGGTTTTCTCCTTCCGTCTTTCTGTGCATTGTGGGATTTGAACTCAAGTCGTCAGGCTTGCACAGTAAGCGTCTTTACCCGCTGAGCTATCTTACCAGCCCTGTGACTTCTTTACTGGTTTGTAAAGTGGCAGCTATATTTCCCAGAATTCCTTTCCCTACATGGTTTCGAGTTGGGGTTGACTATGAGGAAAACTTGTACACTACTGGGAAAGCAGAAATGAAACAGCAGCGGTTACCATCTGAAGGTCACCTTGTTAGCAGTTCAGATAAGCGCAGGGCTCTGTCAGCTAGCCCTGGACGTCCTGCACCAAATCCCAGGCCAGGTGCCTCTATAGCGCTGCGGTGAAGGGCGCTGGCTTTATCCAACTATCATAATATTATCTGGTGTTGGGAGAAGGGAGTAGAGGCAGGCGTAGAAAAAAAAAATCTTTATGAACTTTTTAAAAATAAAAGCCACCTGATAAACCTTCAAGACGTCCTCTGTCTGTATGAGGTCACATTGTGTAGATGAGCCTGGAAAGGGGGGTCCAAGGCAAGCAGTGTCTGGGTATTTTCACCTTCTCTGTCACCACCCCCTTTCTAGACCCTCTCACCCCTGCCTTCTTCCTGAAACTTCTGCCAATCGGGAAGACGTAATGTAATGGGGTAGGACGCGTCAGGCGAAGTTGCTAGGAGACTGCAGTGACACTGTGACTTGTCTCCGGCCAATAAAACTTGTCTGTTAATTAACTAAATCTTCCTGGAACACTAGCTCTCACCATCCACTTCCTGAATGTCTAAGTCCCACCTGTGTGTCGGAACGTAGGCCTGGTTGCTGTCACATCTGTGGCGGGATTAACATCAGACAGCTGTTTAATGGTAGAACTTGCTTGGCAAGCTATCCACTACTCCTGGGAAAATAAGTTCTTCCAATATTCCTTTGAGACCTCCTTGTTAATAAGTGAATGAAAATCTCATCTGTGTCTTTTTTTTTTTTTTAACTTTTGAGACAAGGTTTCTCTGTAGTTTTTGGAGCCTGTCCTGGAACTAGCTCTTATAGACCAGGCTGACCTCGAACTCACAGAGATCCACCTCCCTCTGCCTCCCGAGTGCTGGGACTAAAGATATGTGCCACCCACCGCCCTGCTCTCATTTGTGTCTTCTTAAAGTGTACCTTCCTCGTTCTTGTAATTTTTGTATACAGCATTGGGCCTTACTTATAAGGGCCAACTTTACCTTAATATATACCTAGCTGTAATATTTAGGGGGCAGCATGTTAAATGGAAGAATTTAGGAGGCTGTTGAGACAAAATGAAAGCTCAGCAAATGAAAGTATTTGCCACCAAGACTTGCAAGCGAAGATCCACATAATAGAGGAAGACGATCATCTAGAACACTAACCTGTATGTGTACACACGAGCACACATGCACAAACACACTACACACACACACACACACACACACACAAATAATACATAAAATTTCAAGAAACTGGAGTTTTAATATATTGCCTGGATAATATTTTTAAAACACATTTTACGTCAGGCGGTGGTGGAGCACATCTTTAATCCCAGTACTTGGGAGGCAGAGGCAGGCGGATCTCTGTGAGTTCAGGACCAGCTTGGTCTACAAGATCTAGTTCCAGGACAGGCTCCAAAACTACAGAGAAACCCTGTCTCAAAAAACAAAAACAAACAAACAAATAAACACACAAACCACACTTTACATTTTTATTCTGTGTATGTGGGGGGGCGGTAGGTGCACGTGAGTCATGGCACATATGTAGAAATCAGAGGGATATTTTTGTGTGTCTGTGGGTCAGAGAAACCTAGTGCTGGGAGTCAGGCTTGAGGGCAGGCACCTTTCTCTGAGCTATCTGGATGTCGACCTTCTTTTCTTTCTTGGTTGGAACTCATGTCCTCTCGTACCCTGGGATGGTTTGACGGAGAAATGGTCTCTGGTATTTGTTGCCTTGGTAACACTGAGGGAGGCTGACCAGTCTTGCTGGAGGCATCATGAACCCTGGGGGAGGCTTTGAGACAAAAAGGCCCCGCCTACTTCCAGTTTCCTCTCTCTGCTTCGTGTTTTTTACTGAAGCTGTGAGCTCTTGGTTTCCTGTTCTTACCGTCATGCCTTCTGAGTGCCGCCGAGCCTCCCCACCAGGCCTTCTGAGTGCCGCCGAGCCTCCCCACCAGGCCTTCTGTGTGCCACCGAGCCTCCCCACCAGGCCTTCTGTGTGCTGCCGTGCCTTTCCGCCAGGCCCACTGTATGCTGTTCCGCCTCCCCACCATGATGGATGGACTCTTAGACTCTGTATCCCTCTGGAAGTGTAAGCCCAAATAAACCCTTGTATAAGTTGCCTTGGTCATGGTGTTGTACCATAGCATCATTAGAAAAGTAACTAATGTGTAGTTAGCTAACTTTTGGGATCACCAGTCCGCAAATGGCATGGAAACTAATTTCTAATTATGAAAGCTTGGCCTTTAGCTCAGGCTTGTTCCCAACTAGCTCTTATCACTTCAATTAACCTGTTTCTATTAATCTACTTTCTACCATGTGGCTTTTTGCCGCTCCTCCGTTCTGTAAGTCCAATTTATTCTGCGGCTTGCTGGTGTCTCTCCTGCACCTATATTCTTCTCCAGGTCCTCTCTCTCCCAAGAAGTCCTGCCTATTCTCTCCTGCCTAGCTGTTGGCCATTCAGCTCTTTATTAGACTGATCAGAAGGCACCTTTCACACAGTGTGATCAAGTATCCCATGACACTAATGTAAGCCTCCCAAGTTTTTATGGAAAATGTTTTCTAATTTCTACTTCTCCTTCTTCTTCTTCTCCTTCTCCTTCTCCTTCTTCTTCTTCTTCTTCTTCTTCTCCTTCCTCCTCCTCCTCCTCCTCTTCTTCCTCCTTCCTCCCCCCTTCTTTTTTTTGAAACAGGGTTTCCCTGTGTAGCCTTGGCTGTCCTGAACTTGCTTTGTAGACCAGGTTGGTCTCAACCTCACAGTGATTTGCCTGCCTCTGCCCAAGTGCTGGGATTAAAGGCGTGCACCACCAACAGTTGGCAAATTTTTACTTTTTCAAATATTTATTTATATTGTCTGTGTGTGTGTGTGTGTGTGTGTGTGTGTGTACATGACTGCAGGTGCCTATGGAGGCCAGAAGATGGTGTCAGATCCTGAAGCTGGAATCACAGACTGTTGTATATTGCCCAAGGTGGGTGCTAGGAACTAAACGTCAGTGCTTTGAAAGAGCAGTAAGCACTCTTAGCCAGAGCCCTGGTTTGCGAACTTGTAGACATCTTGTCAATGTTTTATAAACTCCGGAAGTAGTTCTTCTATCCACGACCAACTACATAATTTGAAGGACCTAGTACAAAATAAAGGGAAAATGTGGGGCCCCTTGTTTGTAAATATTAAGAATTTTAAAATGACACAGCAGAGCACACAGCACAGAGGTAGACCTGGTGTCATCAGCGGTCAGCCCACGAGCCACTGTGTCGGCGATGGCTTGGGTTAAATGAAAAGGGTTAGGAAAGATAAGGTAAATTTCCCAGGGAAATGCTAAAAGCAAGATATCGAACGGGTTTAATCTTTGCAGAACTCTCCTCCATGGAATTAGACCACTCCTTGTTGATGTTAGGGTAATGATGATCTTCTAAATGTCTTAAGCACACCCTGTCCATCCCTCCAGCGCATCCCTGTGCCTCTAGAAAAGAAGCCTCTATTGACTGTTTCCATGCGACCTGGACGTTACTGTGAGGCAGAAGCTCTTTCGGGTATTGCGTGAGTTTTCCTGCCCATTCCGTCCCCCAGAACCTGGTGGAAGTTAGACAGGCCTATCTCTAAAGTCAGAGAGTGGAATTTTTTTTACAAGAAGTATGACGGATGGCAGGAATTGAGACATGATAAGATCTTGTAGCTACGGCCTAGCTTCGATCCTTATAATTTATCACTTAAGCATTCCTGCTTTTACAAGTTCACACCGGCAATCACTTAAAGACTTGTAAAAATTCCTGGCGCCAAGGAGACACACCTGAAGGTGAAGGGACAAAGTGGGTAGGTCACCTGCCAGGACAAGGCCAAGAGTACACGATTTAAAAAAAAAAAAAAATTGCGCCTGCGCAATGCGGATCCTCCTGCGCACTCGTGGAGACGGAAGGGCTGGGGGCGGCCGGGGGCGGGGATAAGGTTGCTAGGAGGACGCGATGACGCTCGGGCTCCGCGCTGCTCTCCGCTAATGAGAGGCGCGCGGCGCGATGACGCAGCGCGTGCGTCACGGTGACGGCGCGCGAAGGGCACAGATCTTCGGGCGGGGAGGACATTCGGCCTCTGTGAGCCGCAGCCTTGCCGAGCGAGCGGTTGAGTGTTCGCCATCTTAGGCAAGTGCGTGCGCCCGGGCCTGGCCGCGGAGGGTGCGGGGCGCAGAGCCCTGGGTCCCTGGTGGCCGCCGTCTTGGCGGTGAGCCCGGCCGGGCTCGGCGTCCCCAGGGGAAGAAGCTGTGACCTCCTCAAGGGCGCGGAGCCGGCCATGGCTCGCGGGGGCTCCGGTGACATTGCCCAGGGCCGGGGTCTCTCATCTCCTCCCTCTCTCCCTCCCCCGCTGCAGGAGGATGTTCTCGTCCGTGGCGCACCTGGCCCGGGCGAACCCCTTCAACGCGCCGCACCTGCAGCTGGTGCACGATGGCCTCTCGGGTCCCCGCAGCCCCCCGGGCCCGACCCGGCGTTCCCGCCACCTGGCCGCCGCCGCCGTGGAAGGTGAGATCACACCCTGCCCTGGGCGAGCGCCGGTCCCGTGGTGACCCCCCGCTCTGCCTCCCTAGGCCCGGGCTGGAAGTCGGGGGAGGAAGCGCCGGCCCTGGACCGGAGGACCGGTCTCTGTCACTCGCCCTGCCCTGGGATGTCATCCCTGACGCCCTAGGCCGCCGTCGGATCCTTGGCCCTCCCTCAAGGGCGTGGAAGGGCCCAGGCCCAGCACCACTCAGTGACCTCTATGTCCCCGAGGGAGTAGAGGCAGAGGCGGTGACCAACTTCTTTATCTCCCCCGTGAGCCCGCTTGGTCAGCCAAGTCAACTGGGTAAAGTCTCCTTTCTGACCACTGGCCCGCCACAGTTGCAACTCCGTAACCTCTTCTTTGATTTGCCTCGATTTTCTTTTTCTCTTTATGGAAAAGGACCCCAAGTTTTTTGGTTAGCCGATAGGAAGTCATCTTTTCATGAGGTTGTGTGTGAGGTGATGGGTGGGGGTCTCTTGCTTTTGGTGCCACTGGGGAAGGAGGTGACTTGCAGATTATTAGAGGTGGCCTCCCTCTGATGTTATATTCTGGGATTCGAGGTGGTTCATTTAACGTAATTGTGGTTTTTAAATCCCAGTGGAGCATGGGTGCAGGGAGGGGAAACCTGAAAACTGACATGTCAGGAGAAGTTACCGACACCGAATGTAAAACAGAAAGCCCCTCCCCCCAGTCATTCATGTGCGTCTGCTGTCTTCGGTGTGAACCGAAAAGCCCTTCTGCTTTTCTGTCTTATTTCCAATCATTTTCCTCTGATTTTAAAAAGCCAAAGCAAATATTTGTGTGTTTAACGTTTTTGACTGCAGGAATTCAGCATATGTTGGTTAATAGCTGGAGTAAACGTTAAAGTTAGCGGGTTTTGCACGTGTCAGATGCTCTTTGAGTTTGATTTGTTCCTGGTCCTCTTAGCAACTGCGTGTAGTTGAAGTTACCAGCGCAGGAAGTTTTAGAAAGTAGTCAAAATAAGAGGCAGTTGATGTCTTCCAGAGACACTGACTAATCATTTTAAGTGACCTGCTTTGATAGCGACTTTCTTGTAGTTTACTTATATAAGAATTCATCTTTCCAGCTAATTGTAGCTGGTGCTAAAGCTGCGTAGTAGTTATGGTCCTTTTTCAAAAGAAAATAGAATTTTTTTTGATTTCCCTGGATTTCTCAATCTCTGCAGAAATAATTGATTCTTTTTCTTCAATCAAACAGAGCAGTATAGCTGTGAATATGGATCTGGCAGATTCTTTATCCTCTGTGGAGTCGGAGGAATAATTAGCTGTGGCACCACACATACAGCATTGGTTCCTTTAGATCTGGTTAAATGCAGAATGCAGGTTTGTGTTGCATGCTGGACTAAAGCATTGTTGAAACATGGTTGCTAAGTTGTAAGATATAGGCTGCTACTAACAAGACGAATGGAACCCTAACCAGAACCCTAACCGCCCAGGAGGTAAGTTGGTGAGCACTAATACGAGTGTAAATTAAATGCACGGTGTGTCTTGTCTTATTACAGAGTACAGTTGTGAATTTGGCTCCATGAAGTATTATGCACTGTGTGGCTTTGGTGGGGTCTTAAGTTGTGGGCTGACACACACTGCTGTTGTTCCCCTGGATTTAGTAAAATGCCGCATGCAGGTTTGTATTGACATGAGTGGTTTTATTTCTATTTATTTATATATTTGTTTGTATTGCTTATTATAATTATTGCATAAATACTATTTGTATGTTAGCATGTGGGTGGGTGTGTTTGGAGGTAAATAGACAACCTTTGGGAGCTGGTTTCCACTTACACCAGTTAGAACTGGATTGTTCCAGGTTGTCAAGCTTGTAGGCAAGCGCCTGCCAACTTAACTGGCCTGGGTGTTTTGTATGTGTGATTTATCTTAATAATTAAAAATTGTTTTAAACGGGCGGTGGTGGCGCACGCCTTTAATCCCAGCACTAGAAGGCAGAGGCAGGCAGATCTCTGTGAGTTCGAGGCCAGCCTGGTCTACAGAGCCAGTTCCAGGACAAGCTCCAAAACTACAGAGAAACCCTGTCTCACCACCCCTCTCCCCCCAAAATTGTTTTAAACTAAAACAGAATTATGTCATTTCCCTCTTCCTTTGGTCCCAACAACCTCTTCCAAGCATCCACTTCCCTCTCAAATTGATGGCCCTATTTTTACTGTTGTTACCTATTGTGCTGAAGATGGAACCAAGGCCTTAAGCTTGTGTGCTAAGAGCACCCTCAACCACTGAGCTAATACTAAATTAAAGGGAAGTCTGGAGACTTCCCTTTAGTATTGAAAAGGGTTTATTTTTACTCTATTTGTTCGGGTGCTTTGCCTACATGTATGCTTATGCACCACATGTCTGCCTGGTGCCCAAGGAGGCCAGAAGAGAGCATTGGATTCCCCGGAGCCTGGGTTACAGATGGTTGTGAGCTGCCGAATGGGTATGAGAATCCAACCCAGATCCTCAGGCAGCTCTCCAGCCCCAGTTCCCAGCTGTTTAAAGAGCTTCACAAACGAGAAGTGAAGGCATCACAACTGCCGGCTTCAGGAAGCAAATTTCTAGTTCCTTCTAATTTTCTTTTTTTAAGCTTTTTAAACTTTTATTTAATGATGTGAATGCCCAAGGAGGCAGAAGAGATGTCACATCTGGAGTTAGCAGTGGTTGTGAGCTGCTGGGAACTGAACTCTGCTGGGAGAGCAATAGCAGCAGGGACTCTGAGCCGTCTCTAGTTTTCTTTGCATGTGCAGCTCACACGTGTGGGTACTTTATTAATTGTTCTCATCATAGCTGCTGGTGTTCAGTTCTGGCCAGAGGTCTTTTTCAAAGCCTGCTTGGTTTTTTGTTGTTGTTGTTTTTGTTTTTTGAGACAGGGTTTCTCTGTAGCTTTGGAGCCTATCCTGAAGGCCTGCTTGTTTTAAAACCCCAAGTCATTGTATAAGCATTTTATATTATATATCAGAATATGTAATCAATCTTCATGTGTTAGGTGAAGTAGCTTCCTGTCCCTCGATATTGATAGCCGAGGCAAAGAACATGTTGACTTAGTGAAGAAGCTCTTATTGTCTTCATTGGAAAAATTTGCCTCTTCTATACTTACTTTTATTGTTTGAGATATAACTATTAAAAGTAATCAAACATTAAAAATTTATTTGTCCCAAACAGGATTAGAAGTCTCCTTACCCAAAAGAGAAAGGAAGGTGAAATATTAGGAGGGAGAAAGGAAGGTGATGTATACTAACCCTTCTAGTACTGGCAGAAATAGTGAGATAAGCTCCCTTTACCCATTGGGTATTACCTGGATAGATAGGAAGTATAGCTTCTCTGAAACATGCATGTCTTTGGGAGTGAATCTAATTTCTGAAGTGAAAGAGATTCTTAGATGCTGTACCTCTAAAAATTGCATTGTAGTTTGGTCATCTAATGTTCACAAAGGTTCGTAGTGTAGTGTAATCTATTTACAGTTAGGCACTAGCTTTAAATTGTTTAAAAGGTTAGTGTTAGGTGTGGTGGGTGGTACATGCCCAATCCCAGCAGAGTTTGACGCCAGTCTGGGCTGTATAGTGAGAGACCCTTTCTCAAAAAAGAAAAAGGTAGTAAGAAGTAAGAACAGTTTTATTTCTTGTTGTTGGGATTTTATAGCTTTGACTGCGGATTAAGTATAATTTAAAGGAAGCTAAACCTTGATCTCGAAGTTGTTTCTACTTATAAAAACAATCTTAAGTGAGCCTGGGAAGTGGCGGCTCATGCTTATAAACCAGCACTTGGGAGGCAGAGGTACGAGGATCGCTTTGACTGTAAGCCAGCCTGGGATAGAGACCCTGTTATAACCACCCAGATCTTACCAGTTTAGCTGGAGACATGGCTCGGTCGGTAAAGTTAGGTTAGTGTGAAGAGCTCAGTGATATCCTGAGCACCTGTATAAAAGTTGGGCGAGTCTGTAATCCCCGTGCTGGAAGGACACAGGAGGATTCCGGGAGTTTGCTGACCAGCTAGCCTGAGACAGGCACAGTGGTGGAGAAGTTCTCAGCATCAACTCTGGCCTCCACGTGCATGCACACAGAAACATACACTCATACATACACCACACAGATTTTTAGAAAGCAGAGGAGTTTAGCTTCTATTAAGCTGAGAACTGGCATTTACCTTTTTTGGTAGTTATTAAATTTTAAAATCAAAAGGAAAATATAGTAGAAAAATGTGTGGAGTGTTAGATATTTTTACTTTTTATAAAACTCATTGTAAAGAACTTGCAAATAAAAACTACTACTCAGCTAGATTAACATAACTCTTTGCATTTTATTAACGTTTCTCTTTTAAAGGTGGACCCTCAGAAGTACAAGGGCATATT